TACAATTAGATCTAGTTCTGAATTCGTTGTTGACTGTGTGCACGAAGGCAGCGCAAATCTGATAAATCCAAGACTTCCTCTAGCTTGTTTCATTATAAAATCAACCAGTCAACGAAATACCCATATCGTATTCCAATGTGAACAATACTTTTGCTATTGTATGTCAATTGTATGACCTTAATCTAACAAACTAATAATCCATCTATGTTCTATATCATAACAGAGACTGTTCCAAAGATAAAACATAAAAAGACTGTCCTAAACGAATTAGCACCGCTACAATTTTTATTTTTTCTGACATTACTAATCATAATTTTTTAAAGGATAATGCATCTTAATGGGAATTTAATTGGCGTCGAGTAAAGTTTTAGGGAACGACAATCATACAGCGTAATTATTATTTTTTTTCCGGACTGTCGCACACACACACACACACACACACACATATATATATATATATATATATATATATATATATATATATATATATATATATATATATATATATATATATATATATATATATATATGGGAGGGCGCCAAACTGAAAGTTCGCCCCGGGCGCCAGGAGGGGTCGCTACGCCTCTGACATCACAAGAAAAAGATCGTAGTTGAACCCAAAAGTGCATATATATATATATATGTATATATATATATATATATATATATATATATATATATATATATATATATATATTGCATATCTATACACTATATATATATATATATATATATATATATATATATATATATATATATATATATATATATATATATATATATATAGGCCCTATATATATATAGGCCATATATATATATATATAGGCCCTATATATATATATAGGCCCTATATATATATATATATATATATATAATATATATATATATATATATATATATATATATATATATATATATATATATATATATATAGTGTATAGATATGCAATATATATATATATATATATATATATATATATATATATATATATATATATATATATATATATATATATATATATAATTTTTAATTTGTATGTCTATGTCTATAATTTAGTTTTTTGGGCGGGGAAAAAAGCGTTACTGCCTCATGAGTTGGCCATCGTATGGGTACACATCTACACTGGATATCACTGGATTTTTATACGCAGCGTGTTTACTCTGTACAAGCCAGCCCATTGGATACTAAAAATAAATTTTATAGAATTTCCGTTATTAATTATAACATCCGGGCACTGCGTAAAATCGATTTAGTTAAAGGAGAAAACTGCTGTAAAGCCAATTTTGTCTGATAAAATTAATATAATAAAGTATCACATGATAGAACACGTTATCGTAACTTACTTGTACAATTTTTATTCTCAAATTATTATCTTTAACTTGGGAAAGCAGCAATTTAGCGCCCACAAAAGTATGAGTCCTTCGTTGGTAACGATGTTTCGGAAATACCCATATATGAGGTGGCAGATGAGTGTAAAATAGTCCCATTTAAAATCAGCAGACCCAATCGCGGAAGTAAAAGGAGTGTGCAGCTCGTATTTAAAATTAAGGCGCCCGACATCCTACTAAGTCTACAGAAACATTACTATACTGTATACTACTTAAACATATTTTATGACCAGCTATCACAAAAAGTGCATCCAACCCAGTTCATAACAGTATTTCTTTCAGACATTATTCTTTTAATTTTCATTCTCAAATTATTATCTTTAACTTGGGAAAGCAGCAATTTAGCGCCCACAAAAGTATGAGTCCTTCGTTGGTAACGATGTTTCGGAAATACCCATATATGAGGTGGCAGATGAGTGTAAAATAGTCCCATTTAAAATCAGCAGACCCAATCGCGGAAGTAAAAGGAGTGTGCAGCTCGTATTTAAAATTAAGGCGCCCGACATCCTACTAAGTCTACAGAAACATTACTATACTGTATACTACTTAAACATATTTTATGACCAGCTATCACAAAAAGTGCATCCAACCCAGTTCATAACAGTATTTCTTTCAGACATTATTCTTTAAGAGTGGTGGGGTGGGTGGGGGAGGGGTGGGGGGCTATTGAAAAGCGTGGGTCACTATATTATCTATAGGATAAAAGTTATATTATAGTTATTTAAATAGCAGTGTATTATTATATATTTTTAAAAATCATTTATTGTCTCCTTTTTAGTGCATTACATAAAAGCTTGTTATTAAAACATGTGTAAACATTTTTGTTCCAGTATGTACAATATGCTTGAATGACTAAAAACTATTCAGCACCTAATGAATATGGCAATGCGCGAATAATAGTGCGGAAAGAGTAGTAAGACAGACTAATAATTTCAGAAAATTGTAATTAATTCAGAACAAGTTAATTAGCATTCAATTAAGGCAAATGTAATGTCATGTTGTATTGTCTTCATATCTTGACCCACGTGCTGAATTTCAGAGAAATTGGTGGGTAAGAAGTGCCAGAAATTTTACTCGACGGTTTTGACCGTTTTGACGACAGATAGACAAAGTGAGCAAGTTAATTAAATAAAACCTTGTAACATTTTTTATTTAAATAGACTATAATAAATGTAGTAAATTATGTATTCAATAATAATTAAAATAGAAAAGAATTGTCGCAGGAAAAATTAAAATTTTTAAAAAAATTTGGTATTTACTGTCAGAGGCATTGCGAGGGGTGGGGGTGTGGACCGCACCGGGTGACAATATTTTGGGGGTTGACACCAAGGCAAAAAATAGCAAAATATATATAGAAAAATTATAATTTCACTGAATTAAATAGTCTCTTAAGAGCAAAGTGGACAAATCCCAACGCGGGTGGATGGGGGGGGGGGGGGGGGGGTGTCATCATGACGTAATCCTGCTAACGATAAAGAAAACATACAACATCCAGCTGAATATATAACCGAATATAGATACAAATCGATAGTATTATTTTAGCACAATTGAAAGCAATCATCGTGGGGGTGAAGGGGGGGGGAGGAGTTACATCAACTTAACATTGCAAAATATGCCTGAGGAAAACTGTTTGGTTGAGAATCGTAATAACCTATATGTTAATCGATGAATGGGTTAGGGGGAATAGGGGGGAGGGGAGTTAAATGATCCAGAAGAAAAAATATACACATGCGTGTACACATACTTACAAGTGTATATTAAATATATATATATATATATATATATATATATATATATATATATATATATATATATATATATATATATATATATATATATATATATATATATATATATATATATATATATATATATATTGTTACGACTCCCTTCTCTAATCCTTTCGAACTAGTGAGGGAATCGTAAACAAGAAGAAAAATAAAAATAAAAATAAACGCCACTTCAGTAATCTCTATTTATTTCCACAAATTACAATACTTAAAGTTAACCCGCCACCGAAGTACAACAATCAGAAATATACACAAATAGCTACAAACCACTAAAGTTCTTAGTACGACTACCCTACTTGTCCCTAACTGTCTAACTAGCCTAGGTCTACTACAGTACAGGCATCTCTTGGCTGTCCACTAGCTCACAGAGACGCCCCATGTCTGTCTTCTCTAGACCTAGCTATCCGAGTCCATCTCCGTGTGTGAGTGTCCCCCTGAGTGTGTGTCCCAGTCTGCCGTCTCCCCCTCCTTAAATAACGGACTCACAAATGTCCAGGTGCGGGGCTAATTATGCACCAACACGTCCCACTCAAGCCTAACCTAATTAAATGTCGCCAACAGGTCTGGGGTACCTGATTAAATTGTCAGACCCTGCTAATATACTACCCCCATTACGGTCACCCAGGCCAACTAGGTACGTGTCTTCTACACCTACCCCCATTGATGCCGTCGTCCGTAAATGTAACCTAATTCTAACACGTGCCTCGTTGATTGTCTCCATCTAGACCTGTTCAATCTGGGTCACGTCTGTTGTCAACCCTACCCTGCTATATACGCCCAGTCGAGGTGCAGGGGTCTATGTCCTAACTTAACCTCTCGTACGGCGTTTCCCCACATTTACATACCAGGCCAGGCGATTCAGGTGAAAAAGGGGGGGGGGGGGGGTAACCCGCTAGCATCAACAATAACATCCCACCCTTTGTCTCTTTCACGACCTGCGCCAGTCCGTGGCATCTCTCATTACGGGCTGGCCCGACCACGAAAAAGGGGGTTCACGTCGAGAGTTCCCCCCATCCATAAATCTCTAGGTGACACCCTAATTAACCCACGTTCAGCCATGTCCAAAAAAGGTAAGATCCCCCTCATGGGATCGTAACAATATATTTTTTTTTTTCTTTCGGGGGGGGGGGGGTTGACACCATTAAGTGCCGCACCAGGTGACACCCGACCTCGCTACGCCACTGTTTACTGCTACTTACTTTTACTACTACAAGGTGTTCATCTGTAACAATTAATTAAAGAGTAAAACAGACCATTGATGATATGTTATAATTTTTTTCAAGGTATAACGTACAACGAAACCCGCTGCATCGATGATTGTGATAGATAAAAAAAAATCTTAACTGGATTAAAGTGAAACATTTGTCAACAAAATCAGTAGGGTTGTGCACAATTATTATAAGAGGTCCATGTACGATCCACAATGCTAATACACATAGAATACGATATTTATAAACAAAGATTTTATTACAAGATTGCATGCGCATATGTATAGCATAAATTAAATCAATGAAACTAATATAAGTTTGCTAACAAATCATACAAATATTACAAAAAGCTTTGAGACAAATCTGTGACTAACGTTGATAAAATATGTGAGATCATCTCTTAAAGATTAAAATAGCAGTAAGACCACATAGAAGCTGCTTAAGTGATGTTTGTTGGCAACAAATATATATTTTAGACTATTATTGCTGTCTAACTTATAAAGGCTATGAATATACCATTGAAATTGTGCCTGCAAATTGGAAAATCTCTATTAGTGATAGAACAGTCTCCATAAGAGACCAGATGACCACAGGGCAGAAAGATGACAGCCACCTCCTTGTCCATACAGATCTTACACACTGTCTGCTGGTTGGTTATTCTGTTCTTTTATTGTTATCATTAGTTCTGAAGAAAGAAATTAATATGTTTTCAAAATTCTCATTAAAACTAATATATAATAATATTATATACATCACTTTAAAATACTTTTAATAACTTTGTATTCACATTAAGACTGAACAAGAATGTCATTTTCTGCAGGTATATTAAAATGTGACCAATTGACTGAATACAATCTGTTGAAAGTAAAGTAAAATTCATAACTTCTTACTTTTTTTTTTGTTTTACAAATCTAGGTATTTTAGTTTTAGTCAACTCATTTTGCACTCAAAATTTTTTTATTAAGTTTGTAGTATTTTTTTTAATGTTGCGGGTTAAAAGAAAGAAAACTTTTGAGTAAGAAAAAAATAAAAAATAACTATGAGAATGTAACTATAAAAGCAGAATATTCTTTTCGAGCAGATTAACAGAAGTATAAAACAAATGTAAGGAAAATGTTTCGAATACCTAGAGATTGTGGAATGTCAATGATCAATTCATATGTCCATGAGCCTAGAATGCTAGTTACAGTTCTAGGTCTTTTCATTTCAACCAATTTCTTCAACAGATCATCAGCTGATAATAAACCACCTAAAGAATATATTGGATACAACAAACTTATATTTGCATAATATATTGGAAATTTAAAACATGCACACAACACATGATGCTGAATAAACACACAAGTCACAGTTATTTAGAGATACTTTTTCACAAAAGCCAGTGCAGAGCCTGGTCGGAGCGGCTAGTTAGAAATAAAACAAACGAGAATAATAACAATGGTCACGCTTTATGAAAAAAAGATTCAATCATTAGATTCTTTAGGCAACATATGGAAATACTGTTACCTCTCTTCGTATAAGGGAGCTCAAGCTACATATGGCAGAAATGGGACTTAGCGACGTAGCCTACTGTTGTTATGCCCCAATCATATTTCCCTCCTCAGTTCCCCACACCAGTTTAATTAACTTTGCTAAATTTTACGAGATTTTTTAAAGGAGATTGCTGGTGCTAGATTTGGAGCTGTTCGGAAAATGAGGTGCCTACTTAAATGAGAGGCATGAAACCCAATACAAACTACTAGAGACGGATCAGGGCCCTAGAAATGAGCAGTGTTTCTTTCAGACTTTTTTCTCCGGGGGGGGGGTGGCGGACAAAAAATTTCCGGGTGCGGACACTGTTAAAAGTATATATTTTCTATATAAATTCCATTTGTTTTTTTTTAAGGGGGGGGGGGGGGCGTAGCCTCCCCGAAGAGATGCCTGGAAGAAAAACTGGAAATAAGATTCTGATTTTATATGATAAATTACGAGGTCTGCAGTGAAAGGATCATCAACGTGATCTGTCTTTTAAAAAATTTGCTTAGAATTGTCAGGGTAAATAACTCAAATGGTATATATATATATATATATATATATATATATATATATATATATATATATATATATGTTATGGTCAAAGCCGGCCAATCCGCGCATTGGCCGGCTCTCTTGGCCAAAGCCCGAAGAACTTAGCACTAAGATCGTATTTCGTACATTGGCCGGCCAATGAGCGCACTAGCCGGGACGTACTGGCCAAAGTCCGAAGCGCTTAAACTTGACAGCGTATTTTGTACATTGGCCGGCCAATGCGCGCACTGGCCGGGATGTCCTAGCCAATGTTCTATCTAGACTAAGTTGTGATCACGTTTTTGTTATACTGGGTGCGTTTTCATTGTAACATATTGTTCAGCTCTTGTTTATTCTTGTGCATTCTATATGCAAGACTTTTTTCTCCGGGGGGGGGGGCACTTGAAATTTTCGGGGGGGGGGGGGGGGGGGGGGGCGGTAGACTTTCTTCGGGGTGGCGGACACTGTTAAAAGTATATATTTTCTGTATAAATTATATAAATTTCCTTTCGTTCGGAGGGGGGGGGGGGGGCGGTAAAAATTTTTTCGAAGAGATGCCTGGAAGAAACTCTGCTTAGGCAAAAAAAATTTCGTCACACATTGTCACAAAAGTCCGATCCCCCACCTTCTTACGAGTGTGGCGACATCCCATTATGGCAATTTTAATTTATCCATCCATAAATAACGTCACGTTTTTTTGACGATTCTTACCTCCCCCCCCCTCCCCTCCGTCACACATCGTCATAAAAAGCCAGACTCCCCCTCTTAAAATGACGTCATACTTCAGCCTAACCCCCCCCCCCTCAAAATTGCAGATGAATTTTTCATAAAACATTGATATTTTTCTAAACTCTTGTCTGAACTCTATCGCAATAGAGTATTTTAATCAATTCCTATTACAATTTATTAAAACAATTTTCTAAAACGCGAAATAACAGCTAAAATTCCGTTTTCTGACATTGCTTTTTTATAATACAAAAGTGTGACGTCGCACCATCTGACCCCCCCCCCCTCTCCCCCTCATCACACACCGTCACAAAATTACGGACCCCCCTCCCCTCTATGAGTGTGACGTCATTTATTGACGACCCCAAACAAGATGTTTTTTTTTCTCAAAACAGCAAGGACTAAGCACGTGCGAAAACCTAGTCTTACTACGGAATAAAAATGGGAATTCCCGTATGAAACTGATTAGTGATTTTAGGTCTTATGCCGTCACTCAACTTTACTGGCTTTAGAAACCTCTACTATCTATACTGTGAGATAAAATACTAATCTAAGGTGCCTTCACTAATACAAATAATTCATGCGAAAGTAAGTAAACTAATATCTTACTTCAAACTTGTCAAAATATTGGTCTATAATTCCGTTCTTCACAACAGAAAAATATTATTAATTAATTAGACGCAAAAATATAAGCGTCTGTGTTTTACTCTATTTAATATAGGATATTCCCGATTACATTGAAGTTAGATCCTAGTGCAGGCCACACAAGTTGCCAGATTGTATTTTAATTTTTAGTATCCAATTTCAAATTCTTCAAATCAAAAAAGTTATTTAAAACATTGTGTTAGGCCTATTTAGATGGTTCTACTTTGCAATGAAATATGTTAAATTACAAAAATAAGACATACTAAAGAATGGCATATAAGTTATAAAAAAAAATTTTCCACAAATTTCGGCAAACATGAAATGCGATAAACAATTTTTAAACACGATTATTTCAGGCCCGAAATCCGTTTGAGCATTCTTTTTGTCTGGTTTATTGTCTCAGGTTGGGTATACTTTGCAATTCTTCTTCTTCTTCTTCGTTCTTAATTATTCGTGTGGAAGGGGATCGAGATTTATCTGCCAGTGCGTTTGAACTCGAGGCTTTGTTCGTATTTATCAACCATGAGCTTTTTTGCCGACTCGACCACGCCTCCAACACAATTAAGCGTTACGTGTCAACTGGTTATGCGCCATTGAGGCCATTGACTCCGATTTCAGCCTGCTTTTCTTTTTGGATTTGCTTCCATAGCCTTTGTCCAACCAAGAACAAACTACAAGGCAGCAGTTGTTTGATTTTGGAGTTGTCTCTCCTAGAAGAGTGGCTGTCCCCAGCTAACGAGCCTCATCTGCAATGAAATAGTATAAATTACTAAATTAGGAAATATATTAATTTAAAATTGAGTGACGTCTCCTTACATATATAATTAAATAGAGAGCCCCCCCCCCCCCCCCCCCCCCAACCCTCCACCCGAAGAGATGCCTGTGGAAGAAACTCCGAAGCAGAAGTTGTCTTTCTGGATACCATAGTTGACGAAGAATGAAGTGGGGCTGGGACTGATAAGAAGAAAATAACGAAAATCACTTCCATCAAACTCATAGTTGGTCTTCCACAGAGCTGTTCGCGGCAACACCCGATTTATTTACTACGAGCTAACCCGCAACGTAGCATACGCCGCTATTTAGTTGTTTAATTTCCTATTTTTCATATTCTGTTAATGGACACAAGCGAGAAAAGTCTCAAAGGTATTTGAGAGGTGCATAAATTAATTAAAAATCTTGCACGGCGTAGTTACAATTAATATGGTTATAAAATCCTGCCTGTCTGGTTTTTTTCGGACTTTACTAAAGATTGGACGTATTTGATGTTTTTAATATTTTCGGTAACTAAATAAAAATTTAAAAAAAAAAGCAAAAACAATTTGGTTTTCACGTGTAATGGCGACATAAACAATGGCATCCTGCTATTGGATAGGCCGACATGAATTTTATTGTACACATTGTAAGCTAAAAATAGAAAACTAGGTCATGGGGTTTTAAATTTGTGCATTGTTATTTAAAAACTTGATCTGCAAAGTTTTGTAAACAAATAGTTATCGATCACTAAGTTACTGTTCAGCCAATCAATATTTGTCTTACAAAAGTGAAACATCCGGTTATAACTTAGGCTTGATGAAAATAAATAGAAATGTAGCCTTAAACTCAACAAATTATTTTCAAGTTCTCTGGATTTGCAACTATTATAGCATTTATTCTAAAAATATAAAATTTCTAAATTAATTTTAGGCTTAAGTTTTTATTTTTTATTTTTTTTACGGTCTAAATCTAAAAAGCACGTTTTTATTCCATGTCAACAACACTATGGAAGGAATCTCGTCAACTCGCTTGTCTCCATTCGACACTACCAATGCTGTGACTGAAAATAATTTGCTTTAAAACACTATCAGTAGCGTAAAGGACGGTTATCATCACCCTCACTTTCCACTCCTCTCCCCACTCATCCATCCCCGTGAAAGCAGCCATCCGTGACGACAGTCTACAGACGACAATGAAAATATCAAAATATAACGTGTTATTACCTCCCCTTAGTTTCAAATCGCTTAAAAACTAAATTATCTGCCCCTAATAGCCGTCACTAATTCCGCCCGATTGTAAACAGCTCACCAGACTGGTGGAGTGGGGGGTGGTAGCGATATGGTCTGTTGAGCTTACGTCTTAGTCTTGGTGTTATCTCGCATGGTCCCCATGAAGATAATTATATATATTATATTATATTATATTATATTATATTATATTATATTATATTATATTATATTATATTATATTATATTATATTATATTATATTATATTATATTATATTATATATATATATATATATATATATATATATATATATATATATATATATATATATATATATATATATATATATGTGTGATTAGGCCTATAGTTGTAATGTATTGGAGGAAAGCAAGGGAGTTTAATTATTTTTTCAACGTTACTTTCTAAAATATTGACGGAGCGGCTGCTGGGTCAACATATCGTAGGGTTACTTACTTACATTAATAACATTTTATTAGATCTACAATTTTCAAAAAGTTTTCAAAAACGTGAAATAACGGCTAAAATTTCGTATTTAAGTTAATTAGTATTTAAGTTAACATTACGTTTGTAAAATCGTGACGTCACACTATCTGAATCCCACAAAATTACGAAACCCCGCCCCTCCCACCCGATGAGTGTTAAAGATGGGTAAAACTCCATTTTAGCGTATTTTATTCTCCGCTTGTCGGTTACCTCCAGTTGAGCGTATTTTATTATAATAACCGAAACACACCAAAAACATTAGGAAAACACGATTTATTTATTTGTATTGTATCCGCTAAAATGGAGTTTTACCGGATGATCTAAATCGAGATTTAGATTTCTAGAATCCACAAGCTTTCAAAATGGCGGAAAACAGTTACCATGAAGCTGCTGGAGTAGACAATATTCTACTTGTCACTGACTCGTATAAAGTAGGCCAAATTATAAAACTCGAGTAAGGTCTAGCTTAGGCTTAGTGGTTTAAGTCTAGCTTAGTCAGGCTTAGTGGTTCTTAACCTGGGTTCGATCGATACTAAAACTAAATACTAAGGGGTTCGGTCTTTACTTTTAGTTTTAGCCAGTTTAGGTTCCGACAGAGGTCAAGACATATCTTTATCTACTCTAGTCTAGTATCTAGATCTAGTACTAGATCTAGATCTATCTAGATAGATCTATTTTCTATAGATCTAGTAGAAGACAGAAGATCTAGATCTACTCATCTAGAGATCTAGATCTAGATTTACTCTGATTTACACCCGGATTTTGTCCGTGCAGACGATAGAACGTGCGGTTTGGTGAAAGCGCATACGAAACTGGTGGGGTTCGGTATCACCAAAAAGTATAAGAACCAATATATTAAGTATTAAGACAATTAAGTTAATATGTTCTTTATATTTATGGTTACGGATTACAAGTGGGTAAAACTAAAACTCCATTTTTAGCTTATTTTATTCCACGCTTGATGTTCACCTCCAGTTGAGCGTATTTTATTATAAACACAACCGAAACACACAAACACGTTAGGAAAACATTGAGCTTATTTCTTTATGAATTTTTATTTTCGTTTTTTATAATTTACTGTTGTCAAAACTTTAGAAAAATCCAAATTTGGAATATTGAATGTGCTATGACTATGTAGATAATCTATGTATGTTCGTGACGTATGCTGATAATTAAATGTGAACTCACGGTGAACCCTCAACAGTGTAGGGATTTTTTTCACGCTATTGATTTGTCCTATTGCTTTTTACAAGCTTTTATTTAACTCGCTTCCTCTATCGTCTGTCTGTCTGTCTAGATCGAAACGCCGGAGTGAAAATTCGGACACTTCTACTTGACCGATACGATTCACATTTGGCAGGTGGGTCAAGACATGAAGACAATGCAATCTGAAATTAAATTTGACTTAATTGGTTGCCTAATTAATTTTTTATGAATTAATTAAAATTTGGACCGAATTAGTAGGCATGTCTATCCAACCACACCATACGCGTCATCACATTCAATCACTGCGCCATCACGTTCAGTAGACGCGCCATCACGTTCAGTAGGCGCGCAATGGTTTTTAGTCATGTCACTCTATTGTAAATAAAACATGTAAAGTACTGAAAAAAAATTCATAAAAAACGTTTTAGTAACAAGCTTTTATGTAATAATGCACTAAAAAGTAGAAAATAAATAATAGACTACTATTTAAATAACTATAAAGAAAAGCGTGGGTCACTTTAGTATCTATTGGATACCTTTACTAATGTTAAGGAAGACACCCACGCTTTTCTTTATAGTTATTTAAATAGTAGTCTATGATTTATTTTCTACTTTTTAGTGCATTATTACATAAAAGCTTGTTATTAAAACGTTTTTTATGAATTTTTTAATGTTTTTTTTTTTACCTTTTCTAATTAAAACTCACGGTAATCTGTCGTTTTAGCGTAATCGATTCGGCCGTCGCTAGTAATGTAGGGATAAGGAAACTAATAAATATGGCTTTAAATATGAATATATTTTTGCATATTCTACTAAAGTACTAAAGATAATTGAATATTTAACCACATTTAAGGGTTAAATCAATATAATTTTCATGAAATTAAGGTTTAACAATGATGTTCCAGATACTAAATTTGCTATTAAAAACAGCGGCCATCTTAAGAAAATATTATTTTGAGTCATTTCCCTTTAATTTCTATTTGTATGGAAATGTATTGATATTTGCTATTAAATAGGATTGTATTGTGTTTAAATACAAAGCTTGCGTTTTCTTTTTTAAATTCTGCCCTTTAAACAATTTAATTGACTGAGAACAAACATTAGTTCTAGAATTATTATTATGAGATGCAATTTTTATACATTAAGAAAGTCCCTATTTTTATAGAGCTACCAATACATAATGTTTATTTAAATATTAGATTGAGTTAATTGTTATTGTTTGTTTGCTATTTTTATTTCATAATTTCATGTTCTTTTTTCCTTTAATTAGTGATTTAATCATAAATGACGTCACATTTTTGACCTCTCTTCACCATAACCCCTCCTCCCCCCCCCCCCCCCCCCCCCTCCCCCTATTTTTGCCGTCATGAAATAGTCGTAATGTAAAAAATTAACTTTTTGCCCTGCCTGTTAAAAAGTCAAGCTATAATTCTAACGTAAAAGAATTTTTTTTCAGCATTTTTGTATTAGGCGAAATACATAACTTTTCACGTTTCTTACCCCTCCCACTTCCCACGTAAAACGTCGTCTCAAAACCAGTTACTCCACCCCTTAAGTGCGTGATGTCATTTATGGTAGATGTCAAGTCCTAACCTCCAATATACATTTTGAATAACCTTTGTTGTCAAAATGTTGATACCAAATACCCAAAATGAGTTATATGGGGTTGTCCATAAACGATGTCATATATGCTATGCTAATGTGAAGTCAACTTACGCAGGGCCGCAATTTATGATGCAATTTATGACCTATAATGAAGGGGTGATCGGGGGTTGGGGGATGCGTGCCGTCAATTATGGAAGACTTCTATAAAGCTGTGCTCAATCAAAATGAGGAACATAAAGTGTTCGTTTTCATGCATACCTTTGCTCATAACGAATGATCATAACTATTGCAAGCCTGTTGTCCTAAGCGGTGTTAAACAACCTCAGCACATCATCCCCGCCAAAAAGGGCCTGCCACTAAATTCCTACCGACGAAAATAGGCCGAACTATATTGACTCCTAATGAAATAAATTCTGACAATAGGCCTTAGGCTCAAACCAAGTTGCTCCTGGCAATGATATTCGACAAGAGTCCAAGACAATTAATGGCTTGCAGGTAAAATAGGACAAAACAGCATAACATTAACAAGTACAAAAGGTTTTAATAAATGTTAGGAAAACACTAGGATTAGAGCTAGATCTGATCTAGCTCTAATCCTAGTGTTTTCCTAACGTGTTTGTGTGTTTTGGTAATAAAATACGCTCAACCGGAGGTGAATGTGAAGCGGCGAATAAACTACGCTAATATGGAGTTTTACCTTACAAGTGTCCTTTTTTATAATTATTTAATTATAGGCCTAATTGAGTAATTGTACTAGAAATCTAGATTAGATCTAGATTTCTAGATTCTAGATCTACTTTGAGTACTAGAACTAGGGCTAGGGTTGTCAAAACACATTTTTTTTAGTATTTAAATATCTTAAAGAACAATGATCATAGTGATGTCTTTTAATACACATTGCATCCAACCACATTAAAACTAATTATTACATTACAGCAATCAATCAAGAATAGTTAACTAAAGATTGAATGTTTCCTTCATCTGCGAAGTGTATTAGTATTACATCTACTATCTTACATGAAAAAGCTCTTTAGCTACTTAAACAGTAAGAGGTAAAGAGAACTAACCCAGGCAAAAATCTATAGATTCTAGGATAGATTGTATTTTTGTCAATTGTTCAAAAATCTTTTTTGACCCAATTGTCTACATGAATCATGTCACCATATGTTTTGTGGCGACCTATCCTGTGCAATTAGTTTATTATTTGTACTACGAGAAAAATGGCCCGTTGAGGAAGGATACAACAGGCTTTAGGTTGATAGTGCTGTCTCTCTTTTCTAAACTAAAACCAAAACCAAAATCACCACCTTCATTCAATTTAACCGGAAACGAAAAATGACATTGAAAACGGATTTTTATCCAGAATCGGTACTTTAATCTATACAAAATATAGTCATAGGCATATCCCCAAACCATGCACCTAATCTCATTCATGACAAAAGTCGCATTTAGAGTTTCTTTCAGGCAAAGAGTTTCTTTCATGTCCCCCCCCCCCCCCCCCCCCCCACACACACACCCCAAAACATGTCTACCGTCCCATTCAACGAAATATAATTATATACTTTTTCCAGGGTCCGCCCCCTCCCTGAAAATTTAACCCCCGCCCCCCAAAAAATTCAAATACCCCCACCCCTCTCCAGGGAGGAAAAAGTCTGAAAGAAACACTGGTCGCATTTGTAGATCATACAAACTAAAGGAAGAACCTGGGCGGGGCTTCGCCCCTACCGGAAGGGATGCATGAAAAAAAACTGCACGTTAAACACTTTTTAGATTAGAAAAAGTTTCCCCCTCCGGGGAGGAAAAAGTCTGAAAGAAACACTGGTGTCGCGCTTAGCCACTTCCTGAAGATTAGACACATTAATTAGGCGGTAGTTTTATTATAGAGTATCGATGAAGACATTTCTTTTGAGTTGGAGGGGGGGGGGGGGCAGCTTAGACGTTCTTTCGCGAGGGTGGGGCTTCGCCCCTACCCGAAGAATTGTATGAAAGAAACTCTTCACGCAAACCACTTTTAAGATTAGACAAAATTGGCTTTTTAATTCAATGTTTACTCGAGAATCAATGACGTCATATTATTTTGTGCACTCTCCCCGCTGTCGACTTTTTTCTACTATATGCTGAATATGACGTCATATTTCGCTTCCGCTTTACTGTGATAGTTTTTCTTCTTCTTCTTCTTCTTCGTTCTTAATTATTAGTGTTGAAGGGGATCGAGATTTATCTGCCAGTGGGTTTGAACTCGAGACTTTGTTCGAATTTATCAACCATGAGCTTTTTTGCCGACTCGACCACGCCTCCAACACAATTAAGCGTTACGTGTCAACTGGTTATGCGCCATTGAGGCCATTGACTCCGATTTCAGCCTGCTTTTCTTTTTGGATTTGCTTCCATAGCCTTTGTCCAACCAAGAACAATCTACAAGGCAGCAGTTGTTTAATTTTGGAGTTGTCTCTCCTAGAAGAGTGGCTGTCCCCAGCTAACGAGCCTCATCTGCCCGAGGGTTCGAACTCGAGACTTTTCGGTTTAGCAACCACGAGCTTTACCAACTCGACCACGCCGACCCCAGATAGTTTTTAATTTGCTTGTGTTTTCTCTAAAGCGTTCTTGTCAGATACATAGATAGATAGACAGATAGATAGATACACAGACAGCGAAACTATTATATAGAATTGCTTGCAATGTATTTTCATTAGAAAAACAAAGCTTTCTTTTCTTAACTTGGGCTGTCTGATTACAAACGCAGCTTTTAACTTTAACTACTGTAATTTCCTTTACTTTAATTAATTCATGACATCCAATAAATCACCCAATCCACTTTTTTCAAAACAGCTCAGTATAATTTGATATAATTAAAAGGTACCTTTTTGCCTAACTTTTTTTTTTTTTTTTATTTCTATTAAAGCAAGCTGAAGATAATACAAAAACCAATAGCATTGATAAGTTTGTGAAAAACTTAGAACTATCTCGCAGGGTGGGGGAGAATGTTTGGGATTTGTCCAATCACATTTTTGTTAGACTTAATCACTCTATAGTTATAATCAGGGGTCTCCAAACTTTTCAGCTCGAGGGCCGCATTAACTATCAAATAGCAGTTCGGGGGCCAGAGTTTCTTTAAGGCCTCTCTTCAGAATCGTGGCACCCCCACCCCCGAAGAACGTCTACCCCCCCCCCCCCCCCAACGAAATATAATTTATATAGAAATATATACAAATTTCAAGTATCCCCCCCCCCCCCCCCCCCCCGAGATCCACGTTTGTTCTCAAATTGTTCTTCACGTATTTCATTCTTGAAAATGTGTGTTCACATAGGTATGTTGTTCGATATTTGAAAGGTACTTTGATGCAAAAGTTTTAATGTTAGGAAAGTCTTCCTTGTGCAGAAACGTATGAAAACCCATCCGCCCTTCTTTGAACGTGTCTCTAAGGAAGTCATTTTATTGCAATTCAATGACTTCCAGCTGCAGTTCATCTTTGCAACTGGCCACATTTGCTTCAAATGAGCTTTGAAACAGTCTCACTTCTTCTGCCTTTGAATCCAAGTCAGAAAACCGCTACTGAAACTGCAGCTGGAGGTCTTTAACGATCTCATATGTAAAGGACGTGGGGAACTCAGTGGTTGCTTCAGCCATAAAGACCTTGCACTGCTGAAAGTGTGTCAAGTTGTTAGCCTGTACTTGTTCCAAAAACATGACAAGTTTGTATCTAAAGGCCTATAGGTTGGTGTATAGAGCAGAAACTAGATTTCACTCTCTTGCCGTTTTAGGTTCAGAAAATTTAAATGACTAGTTATGTCTGCAGCAGAGGCCCATCTATACCCACTCTTCATCAGACAATAATGGCTGAGACTTGCCTTTACTATCAGGAAGTCACCTATTTCTTTTCTTAGATACTCTGCTCAGAATTTTCTCTCAAAATCAGCAATCTTACTGATGTTAAATATAGTAAATCTTGCGATCTTGTGTTTGTCTCTGAACTATCTATGGTTAGATATCCTCTTCGGTAACAGCGTCTACATTATACGTAGGTTAGGGAAGCCAGCTCTTGTGTTATGTTCATGTCTTCATCCACACCCCTAATGAACACAAGAAGTTGAGAGGTGGAACAGCTGTCCAGCGAATCATCTATTGCAATTGAAAAATGGCGAAACTGGCTTGAATTTTTCGCTATTTGAGTCGCAATATTTTCACCAATGTCTGCAATACGGCGATTAATTGTATTTGCACCCAAAGCTATATTTTCAAATAGTTTTGAATTTTATGTGCAAAGCTCCTCAGCCACCTCCGACAAACATTTATTCAGTGGACAAAAAGATCGTCGCGGGCCGGATAAAATTACCTCGCGGGCCGCATCCGGCCCGCGGGCCGTAGTTTGGAGACCCCTGGTTATAATGATCAGGACAATATTTTTTTTAATACTTTTTCCCTTAATTCTTATACTAGGCATGACACCAATTTTAGTTTTACTTGCATAAACATTGCCACAATAAAATAATGATAAAGACTTGCAAAGTTTGGTTAGTTTATTTCATTGGAAGAAAAGGAACTAGTAAAATTTCTATATCCCCTAATACTAAACAGCACCATATTTGTTGCAGGTGACCCACCATTTACAATATCCACCAAACACCAGCACTGTGTATTCATATTTTGAGAGCAGGGGAGGAAAGTTCCCAACCACAGTCTTTTTTGGCCTGCAATACATTCTGAAAAGATGGCTGACTGGGCTGGTAGTCACAAAAGAGAAAATCAAAGAGGCCAAACAGATTTATGCTGCTCATTTTGGGCAGGATGTGTTCAATGAAGAAGGATGGAATTATATATTAGAGGTTGTATTGCATTTATCTAGGCCTTTTAGCACTAATCCTAAGCATTTTATTGTTTTTTTTATTAATGAATAGCAAACTTAGGCCTATAACTGTTGATAAGCTCAGTTAATGAGTCATTTACCTAAGCATGTTAAGTTAATATTGTAGTTTCTACTAGTTTATAATGCTCATCTTACCTACTGTTTACGTAACATTTTAATTTTCTTAGATTGTATTTAGAACAATGACCAGATTTGATTTTAGTGGCTATGAAAATAACAGAGATAAAGCAGTTTGATTAATATATAGTGTTACAAGATTTTTTTTTTAATGTCAATATTTCTTTTAATATAATGTCTATGTCTGGGATATGATTAAGAACTGTGTATATTGCTGAATAATAGCTCACTTGAATTTAGTGTTGATTTTAATTTAAACTATTCAATAATCAGCTTTGATGCAGATATATGTAACCAATGTTCCCTCTAAGCTATGCGGTTATGCGGCCGTGCAGTAGTTTTTTCCCTACCGTGCAGTCATTTTGTAAAATACAAATATCCTTATATGAGACATTTAGAACAGTGTGCAGACAAGTACACTTTGCACACTAGCTTTTTCCCCTTAGAGGGAACATTTCATGTCACCATTCATTTAGATAGTAGTTTTTTCAAAAAGGTCATTGCAATACTTGGCTGGGATTGTTAGTTAGACATGTTTATCATTTTCTCTGAAAGATCTATCTTGATTTTTATTTTATTTGTTGATGATAACCTTAACAAATCTAATTTTTTTGTTAAGATTTCCACTAGTCACACTAGTTGGTTTATTTTTGATTGAGTGGTACATTAGGGTGGAAATTTAAAGATAAGAAAAACAATCATGTCCCTAAAAGTATTGCATGTAAAAATTATTTCTAAATTGATTAGTTGAAAGGTTTTAATTATGCAAATTGTGTTAACAGCACCACATGGGTTACATCCCCTTAAGAATAAAAGCAGTGCCAGAAGGCCTGGTGGTGCCCACTAGAAATGTTTTGTTTACTGTGGAAAATACAGACCCCAAGTGTTTCTGGCTTACTAATTATTTTGAGGTTTGTTCTAGATCATCTCTTTTTTTTTTGGCTAATTGAAATATAAGATTTGAGACAAATGTAAATTGATTGTAGGTGTTTTATGTATTTTATTTTATTTGTATAAAATTCATTATCATAATTTTAGTGTTTTCAAAAGAGTTTCAAAATTAAATAGTAATAATGATATATTTACTTAATTCTACTGAATAGTCTACTGTTTCATTCATTTTTTATCTTGATTTGTAAAAAAAAAAATAACCTTTTCAATGCATGACTGTACATAGGTCAGATAATGAGTTTATTTGGTTTTAGCCACCATAAATTGTGTGGCTAGTACACCACAGTGACCTTTACCTGATGTATGTCAGGTAACCATCTGACCTAAGTCTTATAACCATTGAAAGTTAGCTGACCCTTTATAAGTAAATTGACTGTCTTATTGCTCATGTGATTATTGAGTTTGCACAATCTCTCCTGTAAGACCTTACTTGTCCTAACCTATTAAAATTGAACAATCTCCTCTGTATATAAGTTAGAACAATCTCCCCTTTCTGACATTACTAGTTCGAGCCTGTGAATTAAAGTTTGAATATTCTACTCTGTTAGACATTACTGGTCCAAGCCTGGTACCCCATAACAGTGGCCACAAGCTCCAGGTACCAGAAGGAAATTATTGCAGGCTACATGCAGGAAACTTCTGACAATCTAGATTGTCTCCCTTTCCAGCTTCATGACTTAGGATTCAGAGGATGCTCTAGTGTTGAGGTAATAAAAACCTTAGCCTTAATAATATTTTTTATAATTTGCTTTCCCATCCTAAGTTTCATGTTTAGAAAACAAAAGTTTATAATTAAGTGCATGTTCCTTGTCCTAATAGGACAAAAGGGAACTAAAAATTGTTTCGTGACATAAAAATAGTAAATCAACTTGTTTGACTTGATTGCAGTCTGCTGGTATAGGTGGCGCTGCACATTTGGTTAACTTTCAAAGCACAGACACAATAGCTGCACTATGTACAGCACAAAAGTATTACCATTGTAACAATGCAGGTGTGTCACTCCCAGACACAGAACATAGGTACCAGAGTTACCCAACCTAGTTTGTGCTGTTCCCCCACCTTAGCTTCTCAAGAATTCTTATTGCCTCGTTCTCATCCCCACTAATCATGCATGATTTTTAATATTAAAAAAAAATTGGAATGTTTATGAAAAATAACTTTATTGATAGATCTCTAGGGAAGTATTGAACTAACTCAGTGTCATTTTGATTTTAGGATGTAATAGAGAACTGAAATTGATAGTACATTGTAATATTTCAATATTTAAAAAATAGTTAATAAGTATTTATTATTTAAATTTAGTGAACCGGTTGCATTTGATACCAAGAGATTTTATGTCAGGTTTCAATTTAGTTAACTAAAATCTCAAGGCTTCCTATTTTGTTAAATACACCAGGTTTCAGTTTTTAGCAATAAATTTTTTTATGGCGCTAAATCCAGATTCAGCTAAATATGAAGATGGAAACTGTAACAATAGTTCTCCTTCTCATTTGGTTGAATTTTTTTATTTCAGTTTCTTTTCAAAGCCATGCCATCGCTCCTTTTATTTTAAAGAATAGTTTTAATAAGCTTATTATTTTTCAATTCTGTGAGTTCTTTTAATACAGCATGTTTGAATTATCCGCATATTCATTAACATCGGCTGCATCATTCAAGTTTGGAAATCAATTTCTGTCTTATAGGAGAATCTTTCTTTTAAATCTATCAAAAGCATTTTCAGACGATTGACAATAACATTTACAGTAGTATCAGTCAATTTTTCTAAAATTTTGTTGTGAAAATATGTCTCAGTTAATTAAAAGTAATGAAACCAAATATCTTTGCATTAACAAGAGTTTCATTTGTGACTTAAGTTCTTAATTAAATATATTAAGTTTTTTTTTTAAATTGCTAAATGACACATAATGCCTTACCATTGACTGTTTACAAATGTTTCATTTCAGGTTTATCGGAGAATATTAAATATTTCCATAAATCATTAAATCTTTTCAGGCAATTCCCTCTACCAGCCATTTTACTTCCCTGTGAAGTATTAGTGTCACATGTTCTTCTTTTGTGTTGAAGAGATGTTCACATTAGGCACAAAAGCATCGATACACTGTATAACTAAATTTAGTACTACATATGAAACAGGTGAAAAGTTATAGCTACCAGGTTTTTCCAGTGAATAACACAATGTACACAAGACAATTCTGGATTTTCCTCTTTGATCAGTTTGTAAACAACCATTTTTCTTCCCTATCATAGGGATGATGATAACCTTCCCAAATCTATTTTTTTTTGTTAAGATTTCCACTAGTCACAATAGCTCAAGTTGTTTTATTTTTCATGGTATACTGTTGACTTCTTAATAATTGTTTAGCTTACTGTATATCTTTGAATATGGTGTTGCTCTCTGGTAGTTTACAGAGCATTTTTTCAGCAGAAACATATTGTTCATATTTCATACATAAGTCAGCAATACAAACTCACTATATCCCCAAGTCCAAGCTGGTTTATACATTTGCATTGAGAATTTAATTGTTTTCAACATTTGAACAAGTTGTATTTCAATATCTTCACACATTTTATACATTCTTCTGCTAACAATATACCTTTTCCAAGATTTTGAGAGGAGTAATGAAATTTAATATCTGGCGGCTAGAGTACAATTGATAGTTGCATTATGATCTTTAAAGTTTAATGTTTTTCTTTTTTTTTTCTTTCAAGTTTGACATTAATTCAAATGTGAATTAATATGAGCTTTATGTTTGGCCTTCAAATGTGCCAAAATATGATATGGTTTTATTGTTTCATGTTCTAAATATAGTTGGCATAATAGAAAAAAATGTTGATTGTGGACTGTGCATTTGAAACTAATAATTTCACTAACTAGGTGATGTACATAAACAAATGGGGATAGACACAGTCAGTGAAATACATTAACAAATGGTGATACAAATATTAAGTGAACGACATGAGACATTGTGATACACACATGAACAAATGGTAATGCACATCAAGTGAATTAGATGAACAAATGGTGATCCATACACACAGAAAGTGAAATAAATGTTTAATTAATAACATTCTCTCTCAGCACAATCACAACTTGGGGAGAGCATGGAGAAAAAGATGGCTTCAAGAACATGCTAGAAAAATTCCCAACTGGGCTGGTGGCTTGTGTGAGTGACAGCTATGACATCTGGAACGCGTGCGAGAAGATTTGGGGGGAGGAGCTAAAGGAAGTCATTGTGTCTAGGGGGGACAAAGGCACACTGGTCGTCCGTCTTGACTCGGGTCATCCTGCTGAAATTGTTCTTAAAGTAAGTTACATGTTGTAATAATAGTTTACACCTCTCCCGTGTAAAAAGTTACATACTTTATGTTTTAAGTTCATTATTACAAAGTACTTTTTAAGTTGATGATTATCCTAATAGTTCATAACAAGACTGGTTTAGTTTCATATCAAAGCTAACATAAAATTGTTATAGTGCCTGCTGTTGCGCAAACATGTACATTCCTTACACCTGGGTGGTCACCCAGGGCTGTTTGACAAAACACCCATGGGTGGTAGTGTGGACAAACTTGCACCCCAACAACTAAATTCCAATAACGCTAGTTACCGGCATTGTTAACATTTAAATAACTCAGTTTTTTAAAAAACGGGCACATGTCTAAACATACACACTTGGTAATGTGTTGATGAAATCCTGTTATATTGTTGTGTCACTCTGAATTTCCTTTCATCTGAGATTGCAGTGCTGCAACTCACATCGGTAAGCTAATCAGCAAATTAATTAATTTACAAACAAACTTGCGATCCATGCCTAATAACTTTTTGTTTTGTAACACCCAAACATTGCGAACTTCTATACTTTGCCAAAATTAAGCAAAATTTTGTGATACAGATTTAGAAAGAAACATTTATATTGAGTTCACCTGGCCATTTTGTTGGTTATTTATATTTTATAATACTAGGCCTCTCACCAGATGCTAAATTTAGTATCATGGTTTTTGTCTCCTTTTTTCCTTGAAATAATAAAGTGCTTAAGTTATATATATTTTTTTTTCAAATAGGTGCTAAATATATTTGGTGAGAAATTTGGTTACACTGAAAATTCCAAGGGTTACAAAGTCCTGCCACCATACATCAGGATCGTTCAGGGTGATGGCATCTCATACGAGTCACTGGGAGAGATCCTGGAGAACATGAAGAGCAACAAATGGAGCGCAGACAATGTGGCCTTTGGTAGTGGGGGAGCTCTCCTACAGAGGCTGGACAGGGACACACAGAAGTGTGCCTTTAAGTGCAGCTATGCTGTCATCAATGGGGAGGAGGTGACCAGTTTTTTTTAATTTCACTTTTTAAATTCTTAACATTGATTGTAGAATACTAGTCGGAATAGGGGGTCGCCGTGGTCGAGTCGTAAAGCTCATGGTTGCTAAACCGCAAAAGTCTAGAGTTCGAACCCTCGGGCAGATGAGGCTCGTTAGCTGGGGACAGCCACTCTTCTAGGAGAGACAACTCCAAAATCAAACATCAGCTGCCTTGTAGTTTGTTCTTGGTCGGACAAAGGCTATGGAAGCAAATTCAAAAAGAAAAGCAGGCTGAAATCAGAGTCAATGGCCTCAATGGCGCATAACCAGTTGACACGTATCCTTAATTGTGATGGAGGCGTGGTAGAGTCGGCAAAAAGCTCATAGTTGATAAATTCGAAAATATCTCGAGTTCAAACCCTCTGGCAGATAAGGCTCGATCCCTTCCAACACTAAAAATTAAGAACGAAGAAGAAGACTAGTTGGAATAAGTTAAATACATTTGTGTTTGTTTGTTTTACTTGGGTAAAGGTGAATGTATTCAAAGATCCAATCACTGACAGAGGTAAGAAGAGTAAAAAAGGTCGCCTGACACTGGAGAAGCAAGATGACACATTTGTTACAGTAGAGCAAGGGAAAGGGGATACAGAAAAGGTTGGTTTCTACAAACTCAGTTTTTCTTGGTTTTAGAAAAACAACTTGATATTAATAATAAAACAAACTCAGCAATACTTAGTTTTAGAAAAAAAAACTTGATATTGATAATAAAATATTTTTAAAATTCTTTTGTTTTGTGTAGGATGTGATGCAGTTTGTGTTTGAAAATGGAAAACTTCTAAAAGATTTCACATTTGCGGAAGTTAGGAAAAATGCTGAAATTGACCTTCTACGGAATGAAAAATAATCAAGTCAAGAAAGTGACTATTATACTGCTACAAAACTATGCAATCATTCTAACGAAAACAAATTTTGCTTTAATATTTTATTAAGATAATTTTTAATTAGGAAGGTGGAGGTGAAATTGCATTCCTTGCTTTATAACTTCCTACAACACATTTTTCATAAGATATTTAACTATAAAAAAATTTTGGCACTTTGAACAGCAATGCAATTTGATTTTGCTTTATACTTACTCTAAAATTGTATACTTGTGCATTGTTTACACTGCCAAATAAGAATATTTTACAACAGTTTCACCACCTGGACACTTAAGTTTTATAAAACTTACTTCTGCCAGTACACTTTTCTGCTCAGGGAAACTTTATTTTTGTTTTATTTAAGTTATTGATCGGTTTACCTTTTTTATTTTTATTTTCTTTACATAATTAAATTATTACATTTTAATCAAGTAACACATAAAAATTGTAGCTCTCTCATTTCATTTATTTTTAAAAATTATATATTTCATGTAACTTCTTGGGTCTTAATTTTAGTGTTGGAAGGTATTCCCTCCAACACAAGTATACATGTCAACCTTCAGCTTTCTTTGTCCATCCAAGAACAATCTACAAGGCAGCAGTTGTTCGATTTTGAAGTTGTCTCTCCTAGAAGAGTTGCTTTTTCCAGCAACCTCTTCTGCCCAATTCATGTAACTTATCCTTTAATGTTTTGGTGTGACACCTCATAGGACTACCTAGTAAAGGACATAATCTTTTGTAGTGTTCCAACTGGATTGCAGGTCCTGTGGGTCCGAATTTCTGATGTTTGTTTTTACTCGTCTGCCAAATGAACTGGTATTTCGGCGGTCATGGGATACCTAAGTATCAGGCTAGGCATAGCTTTTCACCAGACACTCAGTAACATGAGCCGGTGACATGATTTATGATGTTCAGAATTGCAGTACATGGTGTCGGCACTTAGAAGTGCTTAGTATAGTTGTAGTGTTAAGTATAGGCCTAATGAAAAACTATATGCCAGTGTCACATACATGGCATTTTATACCTCATTGACTTTTTATGCTTTGTCATTTTATACCTCATTAGCATTTTATACCTCATTAGCATTGCATACCTTTTTGGCAATCTATACCTCATTAGCATTGTATACTCATTTCTTAACATTCATTCAGGGTCATTCCCTGAAAGCACTAGTTGCCCTGACATTCAGTTACTTCACCTGTGATTTGTACACATTATCCTTATCCCCTCCCATGCATGTCTTAGTCCTCTTAACTTTCTGTGGCGTATACTGCCTACCTCCCTTGAATGTCATATTTCAAATAAAACTTTAAAAAAATAATTTTGTGTTTTGTAGATTTTTAACAAATGAATTTCATTGAAAAAAATACAAAAACCTTAATGATGAGCTTTTAATTGCACTGAAAATAAAACAAACTTTCTCTTTTATAGACAAAATGGTCCAAAAATAAATAATACGAAACAAAGTTTACTATTTATTTTAGCAATTTAATAACAACGTAAATAATGGAACTTTTTAAATATTGCAGTAAAGAAAAATAATTTTTTAAATGTAGTGTCTTAAAAACAGAATATTAAAATTTAATAATTTTGTTAAAAAAAAAAAAAAAATACAACAGGCCATTGGGCATGTTTTATCATTTTCTCTGCCAAAAAGTGAACTATACAAAGCTACAATTTCCTCAAAAACAAGCACAGGTTTTGTTGAAATATAAGTAGTTCAACATGTGATTCACAATTGTACTACAGTAGCAATACACCCTGTAGAATATTTTTATATAAAAAATACTTTTGTAGCAAACTTGTACACAATAAATAATATCAGTTACGCTGTATTTTATTCGGCATACTATAATTTACATATTATACAAACTAAGAAAATTATGGAATAAGTTTGAAGGTTAACCCTGAGGAAATGTGACTAAAGTGTTTCTAGAAGACTAAAGGGGCAGTCACAACACTGTGACTGCATTAGTGTTGTCAAATGGAAATCCTATTAAAGTGAATTCATACTGGCAACACCTGCGTAGTTTGGAATGATTATTGTCCTGCTTCACAGGTGTTTAACTCATGAAGGCTCTGACTATACCCTTGACATTGTGCCTGCAAACTGGACAATCTTTCATAGCGATAGAACAGTCCCCACAGGACACCAGATGACCACAGGGCAGAAAGACGACAGCCACCTCCTTGTCCATACAGATCTTACACACTGTCTGCTGGCGTAGTTGGTTGTTCTGTTCTTTTATTCTTCTCATTAGTTCTAAAGAAGATAATTTAAAATATAATAACAATTTTTAAAAATTCTCACTTAATCTAAAACTGAAAGACATTTAGAACTGTGGTTCTTAACCAGTTTCATATGCCCGTTCACCGAACCCTACTTAATAGTTCTATCATCAACAGAGATGTAACCAACCTCCACAGAAAAAAGGCAACAAAGTTACATCTCTGCTAGAGATGGTCCTATAAAGAACCATGTTGATAAAGTTATATATAAAACACAGCCTAGCATAAATGATGTAACATTAACGAACCGAATTTTACCCCAACCCATGTCGTCATTAATAGCTAGGCAGCCACACAACCCGTGGTATAAAATAGTTCAATCTACAGCCCCACCCATCTCTCCAATATTTTCTTTTCAGGACTGCCTGCATCTTCTAACTAGCTTTAAGAAATTATAAAATCGAGAGGTACACAGTGTTCCTGCGCAACTAGCCTTTTCCACTTCAGTTTTTGTAGAGATTAATCATTACATGAATTTTTAAGTACCAATTTAATATCACATATCAGAAAAAGACATGATCGCTCAAACTTAAAAATATTTTAAATAAATTTATACAGGAATTAGAGACTTTACAAGATTTTATTTAAATTTTTTAATCAACTGGAAGTAAAATAATCTTTTTTTTTTTTATTTCACAAATCAAGGCTTTTAGATATGGATAAGATCAACTAATTATTTAAGTAAAATATTTTCTTGGAACTTTTTAAAATATTTTATTAATGTTAATTTAATTAACTAATTTACAGCATACTAACAGGCAGTGTAAAACAAATGTCAGGAAAACGTTATACCTAGAGATTGTGGAATATCAATGGTTAGTTCATCTGTCTCTGTGCGAAGATTGCTAGTTCTTGCTCTAGGCCTTTTCATTTCAACCAATTTCTCCAGGAGAACATCAGCTGATAATGTACCACCTAAAGAATACAGTTCAAAGTGATAAAGAAAATTGATTTTATTGATAATATACAGCCTACAGATTATATTGCAAAATCATAAAGAAAATGTACTTTATTGATAATATACCACCTAAAGAATATATTGCAAAATCATAAAGGAAATTTATTTTATTGATTATATACTGCCTGAAGAATATATAACAAAATGATAATGAAAGTGTACTTTATTGATAATATACCACCAAAAGAATATATTTCAAAATGATAAAGACGTTTAATCAAACTCAAACCTTTATTTATCATGCATAGAAATAAAATGTATAGGTAGTAGTTGATTTAAAAATACAAAAGGTTATTCTGATGCCATATCAACTATATTAAGGATATGAATAAATCGACCTCTGTGATGTAGAATTAGAACTAAGTCAATTTAAAAGTAAAAAAAAGGGTTAAAGAAAATAAATTTTATAAAATGCAGCAGTTTTTGGGAAATCAGATATGAAAATCACTAAAATAAAACTAGTGCTCAACATTGATTTAAATTTTAAAACAAAAATCAATTCATAATCTATAAGCACATATTATTACATATTTGAGTATTGAGAAAGCTCTAAGATCTTTTTTTGTGTAGGGGTGTTTGTCAAGCAAAAAGCCACTTGATAAGATAAAAAGCAAATTTGTGAAAATACAAATTTGTTTAGTGATGTTTTTCTTTGAGTGCATTATTTTTTTTTATACTACGTATATTTTATTCTCTATGTCAATGTAGCATACTGATCTGCTTTAAAATGTTAATAAAACTGACTTAATATAATTTTTACTTTGGTGTATTATTTGATTAAATAAGCCTATTAACTTACTGTCTTCTCTGACTAGAGTTGCCTGTCCTAGTACATCTATCATAGAGAATCCAAGATCAAGAACTGTTTTAACAGCTGGATCTCTCTGTAGGGGATTGTCTCTTGTTTCTAGAACAGAGAGATGGTTGTCGAAATAACCTCACACAATTATTAAAGGAGTTGTAATGCAACATGATTTTTCTATGTCTTTTTGAGCATTTTCTTTTTTTTGGAATTGGTAAAATATTTACAATAATCTTACTTAATAATGAAATTACAGTAAGCGCATACTTCAGCTACTAATCATAAAATTTTGGTGTCAAAGGTTACTTTTTCAATAGATCAATGTATTTTGATTCTTACTCTAATTTCATATAAAAGTATTAAGAAGGCTTGCTTATGAAAAGTAAGCTACACACTATAAAACTACAACTGAAAGAAAAGCCATTATGTACATAGCCTATACCGCAACAACAGACAGTGACTATGCATCACAGTGAAATAAGATTAAATGCTTTGCTAATAAATACAAGCTATTTATAACTAATTTGTTTTAGAAGGGTTAAAATGTAACTCAGAATTAATCTAATGACAGTTGAAACATTTTTTAAAAAAAATAACCAACCAAGATTAAAGTCACAACCAGAACACTTTATTTTCTCCAGCACCATCTGATAGGATATCTGTAACAAATTCGTTCCTAAAATTAACAGTTGTAGTTGTTTTGTGCCGGTCTTACGTATGTATTTGCGAATATTGCAGACAATTTCAAAAATCTAAAAATTAGGGTTACAGTTACTGTTGGGCTAGGTCACAGTATTTTACTTTTAACTACATAATTTTTATTATATCTCTGATAACACCTACTTTAATAAATACCACCTAAAAATAAATATTTAAACTCCAAAATACTTTATTTAAATCAACAAGATGAACTTAAGAATAATTGCTGATATTTTAGGAATATCTTTAACAAAAATAGAGTATAACCGTACACTGTTGTAACTATCGTAATGAGACTGCGGTTTAACAACTGTGGTAGGTATAATACTAACAATGCTAATGTAGGAAATAAACTCATTATAACTTTAACTACTACAACCTGACAACAAAAGTATACTAGCTCAATATTAACTAAAACTGCACTGATTAAAATGTATACCAGGTCATTATCTTTGTTCAGGTCCTGAACTGCATCTATAAAGGCTTGCCCCATCTGTTGACGTATGAATGCACACTTAGGGAACCATCTGGCATGCTCTACCAGTACATTGTCCTCGTCTTCCCAGTTCCTCAGTCCCCCACCACAGAAGAAGCATCGGGCACAGTCACCATAACCTCAAAAACACAAAAAAATTTAATTTGTAATAAAATAAATAGAGCCTATATGATTTTTTAAAAATCTTGTAAGCTTTAATTGAATCGAATGTCTATAGACCTACTAAGAAAAACTTAAAATATCACAATATATGGCCTGTAGCACAATTTGTAAATAAATTCTTGAGCCAGCTTATGTCAGTAGCTGTGGTTGGGAAATAAGATTTAAACAAATACGACATTGGACTAGGCTTAATAATTTTAATTGCAGTCTAACTAAGACTACTTATAAGCTGTTTCTTAATTTACAATTTCTATAGTCTATTCCTAAATAAAATGTCAATTATATTAAAAATTTAAGAAAGTTATCTCACCAGCATAAAAAAATCCAGCCTCTGCAAGTTCATTAGGAGTCAGATGATGTTCTCTAGGCCACCCGCTGTAAGTCTCAACTCGTTTAATCCGAAGGGCATATTCACTGCGCTTTGGCCTTTCTGTGATGATGCCCAACTCAACATATGTGGGTTTGGATGCTGTGCGAGCACTGGCTGCTACAGGACCCAATTGCTGGTTGCTCTCAGCTAACCTGTTACTTGATCTATCCAATCGCTGAGTAGCCTGGGCTGATCCTGATGTGACTGAGTCTGTCTCATCAGGCGAAGCATTGTTTAAATTAAGGACGGTAGTGACAGTTGGTTGTTCTGGAGATGACTCTATGGAAGACTGACCAGAAATGGGTGCAGCACTTCCAGTTAATAATGACACATTTGTTAAGTTTGTTGTTTCTGAAGGTGAAGCAGCTATGGATGTGTTTTGTTGCCATTCAGATCTCTCTTGATGTGAAGACTGAACTGCATTAGATGATGATGAAGTGACCAGACTAGAATCTGTGTACTCAATGTTTGATGGTATTAGCAAAGATGAAGCAGCTACGTCTGACACTTGAGATGAAAATACAGGCACACTTTGGGACTGTGATGTGACATTAGGTTCTCCTACCCGAACCTGCTGAATATTTACATGTGTAGCACTCTGTGAATGGTTAGAAAACTGTTCAGAGTCTGTATCAACCTGATTATTTACATTATTTTGTACAGATCTGTATGAGGCTAGCTGTATAAATAGTTGGACAAAACTGGCCTTGGGAACAGCTACTGGAATGTTCTCACAGCCAAGACCAGTAACCATGGGGCATTTTGAGCATAATTTCTTGTGGACGATATCAACTGAATCAGAGCACTTGAAGTTATAGGAGGCCCCACAAAAGAAACAGGTAACAGCGTTATCATCTTCTCTACCACTCCCTGAATAAAAAAATCCCTGAGCTGCTAGTGAGTGGGCATAGTGTGGAGCTTTTGGAGGATACTTTGTGAAAGTGGTCAGCCTTATTTTTTCTTGCTTCAACATCTTACTTTAAATCTGCATAGAAAAACATAAATAATAATTTAATAAATATTATAACACTATTCTAGTCACAATGCTATGTACTATGTTGATCTAGACTACATCCTAACTAATAAAAATTTAGGTAGTAGGCCTATGTCACTATTTGTAGATCTAATAAAAAAAAGTATATTATAGACTAGATTCTACTTCTAGATCATTTAAGAGTTATTTTTGGGCTAGAATAAATGAATTATAGGTAATCTATCGCTATAACTTTAGGTACGTAAAATCGCCCGCGGCTAGTCTAGTAAAGTACGAAAATGTTACCTCATTGTCAAGTATATTGTGATATATTTGTGTCAAATATTATAGATAAATGAATAATAAACCTAAATCAATGGCTAAATATATCAATATAGGCAAGAAATTAACTTTAAACACCAGTGTTTGCTAGCAGGATTTGCTATATAAAAAGCGGCCATCTGTAAGTTATAGTGGCTCCCCCTGAATCTTGCGCTATAAGTTTACAATTAAAAAAATAAACAAGATGGCTGTAATAGTAAATCAGCATGGTTGCATCTGTTGGAAACATCGCTAGTCTTTGTTTCTTACTGAAAAGTTTTAATTCAATGGTTTAAAAACAGGTACATAAATGAAACAAGGAAACATTTTTGTATTTTTCAAAACATAAATCGGAATCCTCCTCAAAATGTGAAATAATTATTAATTATCAAAATTTAAGGAGTCACTTGTTTGTCACAATACTAGTCGCGGGCGATTTTATGTACCTAAAACGATAGATTACCGAATTATATTTTCTAAATAGTAAATAGGTCTACAAAATGGCTAAAAAAAATGGCACTATTTTCTAAAATTTAAAATGCCATTGGGACAAATGGAGTCTTCTTTCTTGATTAGATTTATCATTTGATTTATTAATTTTAATTTATTCTAGGTTAAACAATCCTAGAATCTAGATCTAGATCTAGAACTGAGATCTAGATTATCTAGAGTCTAGATCTAGATCTAGAATCTAGAGGTCTAGATCTAATCTAATATAATATAAATATTTAAAATATAGAGCTAGATCTAGATCTAGATTAGTAGATATGGCCTATAGTCTAGCTAGGTCTAGAGTCTAGTACTAGATCTAGATCTAGAATCTAGTAGTGTTTTCTGTTTACAATAGTCAATAGGTCAATAGTAGATCTACATTAAATTAGTAGGCCTAATTAGAATCTAGATCTACACATTGGTCATTGTTTTGATTTTTTTTTTTAAACTACGCCTGCCCTTGCAACTTCCGATCACTTCAAAATTTTTTCGTTTTTTTTTGTTTGTTAATTAAATAAAAATTATAAATTGTATATATAGGCCTATAAAAAAAATATTCCAAACACCCTTGATCCCAACTTCTGACCTGAAGACTCCTATTATAGACTTCCAACCTCAATGTCTGTACTTATATTATACTTATACCTTCAAAACTTTAACAGCTATCCAAAAAAATATATTGTCAATATAGTAGTCTATGTAAACAGTTTAAAGTTAAATTAGCATTTTTTTTATTCACCAGATGAATAAAGGAAACAAAATAAATGTGTTCAAGGTTATTATCATTATTTGGATAACATAATTTCAAAATATCATTTATATTACATTATGGGCCAGTGTGGTGTAGTGGCAGAGAGCTAGACTATTATTAACCCAAAACTCTCTAGAGTTAGAATCCAGTTTCAAGTCAGCAGAATGTCTCAGAGTCAACCCAGCTCTGATGGGTACCTAACTCACGTTGGGTAAACAAAGGCGGCTGGGCATAGTGCTGACCACACTATACCTTCATATGCCGAGGTCTCTGAAGCAGATTAACTCTACGTCATCTGCACCATGTGTCTTTGGCACAAACGTGAACAGATGATGATTTACATTACGGTAGAAATTAAAGAGGTCACAGGGGTCGGCTTGGTCGAGTCGGTAAAGCTCATTGTTGCTAAACCGCAAAAGTCTCGAGTTCGAACCCTCGGGCAGATGAGGCTCCTTAGCTGGGGACAGCCACTCTTCTAGGAGAGACAACTCCAAATCAAACAACTGCTGCCTTGTAGTTTGTTCTTGGTTGGACAAAGGCTATGGAAGCTAATCCAAAAAGAAAAGCAGGCTGAAATCGGAGTCAACGGCCTCAATGGCGCATAACCAGTTGACACGTATCCTTAATTGTGATGGAAGCATGGTCGAGTCGGCAAAGCTCATGGTTGATAAATTCGAAAAAAGTCTCGAGTGCAAACCCTCTGGCAGATAAGGCTCGACCCCTCCCAACACTAAAAATTAAGAAGGAAGAAGAAGAAGAAGAAAGAGGTCACCTGATCCAGTATTTTTCTGAGTTTAGTTGATACAAGCTCTAGCTATCTGTGTCACAGGTTTTCTACATTCTGGACATGTTCTTGTTCCAGCACAGTCTATGCAGATAACCCAGTGGTGACATGGTAAACACAACACTGACTTTTGTCTTTTGTTGCAGATGCGACACATATTTGAAACTGCAGGATGACAAGTTTCTGAAATAAAAATAAATGTGGGTCCTGTATTTTAATTAAAAAAAAAAACAATAGATAAAACAATATTCATACAGCAATATAATTTTAATAATTTTATTTTTTTAATTGTACATCATTAAAATTTGGGTTGTTTTTAGTTATGTTTTAATTTGAAAAATCTCACAAGCAATTTTATTTAACAAATCATATACATAAAAACATTATAAGGCTTACCTACTGGCAAACTGGCAGAAAACTTCCTCAAAGCATCTTTAACTGGACTCGCTGTATTCTAAAAATAATCTTATGTTAATAAATACATCCAGAGTATTTTAAAACACTGTATTGTTGTCTAAACTAAAGAGGATAAAATAATGAAGGTATTTTACTTACGGACTGTACTTCGGAGGGATGATGTCGGGTTATTTGCTGTACGTCTTGTACGAATGAATCTGACATTCTTATATTGACATAGTCGCAGTTTGGTGCAAGTTTAGCATGCTCAACATACGGATTAGCTGTTTCACGCCAGTGACGTATTGATTTATTACAATAGAAACAGATCATATTGTCCTCTAGCTCTGTGAATATAAGTAGTTTCAAAATTTCAAAATGAATAATTATTTGGTGTTGTTTTATAGTGGTTTATGCACATATCAGACATTTATAAGCTTGATGCATAGAGTTCTTTATTTTCTTTTCCAATAAATTTTAAAATTATGTTATTTCGTAGTTATGAAACAATATCATATGAATTAAATAATTAAAATAGTATATTACCTAAAACTTTAATGAACAAAGTTTGTCAGAATATATTTAAATTGAACAATGAATATTGTAAACTTAAATGCTTAAATTAAATGAGATTTGAATTTTTTAAAAATCTGTATGCATAGACTACACAGCGTTATGCCAAATAAAGTTGTGTCAACCTATATGAATAATAATTGTGCAAATAACTGTGCATGATATCAGCGTTCACAAATTTAACGCCATGTAATAAAATGTCCTTAAAATATTTTTTTTGTAAATATACATAATCACAATTAATTAATATTGCCCAATATATTATAGTAGCCCTAAACGCTATGCATGCATAAGTTTTAGCAATCAATACAAATTTTTAACTCACGAGCATAAATAAATCCTGCATCTGCAAATTCTTTTGACCTCCTCTTGAGCATTTCGGAAGGAGAAAAAAAACTGCTAAGCCTCTGAGACATTTGAGTAAAATCAGGGTTACAAGGATTCCAGACTGTTATCTTAAGATGAGATCCACAGGGAACTACTTCTGTAGATTTTTTATTACCTGTATCTGAACTAGACAATGGAGCTGTCCCATGTTGATATGTTTTAACTATCTGTGCTGTGTCTTCAAGTGTTTCTCTTATCCTGAGGTCAACGTGCTTATTAAAATTAAATGGAATATTTTCACAGTCTGCTTTTGTCACCATGGGACAATGAGGTGATGTAGATCTATGATGATCGTGGATTCTTTCATCAGCAGAGAAAACTTTGCGGCAAAAGCAACACTTCAAATTGTGTACGCTGCCATTGTCTAAATACACAAATCCTTCTGAAGCCAAATGGCTAGGGAATATTTTAAAGTTTTCTGGATAGTTTTTGAATGTTGCTAGTCTATATTTCTCTTTCTTACATTTTTTCCATGGTAAATCTCTCAAAAATGTATGTGCCATAATTTCTATTTTTAAAAAAAAACAATATTTATGTTATGGTTTAATAGCGTTCAATTTAAATTTAATCTAAAGTTAAATTGATACTAATTATAAAAAATGCTTTTAAAAAATACTATGTAGGTTTTTTATAACTTATTTTTATATAAATAGGCATCAATCTATAGAATCTACCTTTAAAAAATAAAATTCTATTTAATGACTTTAACAAAGTTTAAATTTGGAATATTAAACAAGGTCCTGTATTAAAGTCTTTGAAACAATATTAAGTTAGCATTTGGAAAATGTCATTGCAATATGAATATTGAATGTTAATTATTCATATACCTAATTAGTACATTATTAATATTATAATGATTAAAATAATATATAATATATATATATATTTTCATATATGGGCCTATAGCCTATGTATAAATATACATGACCTTTTTCTGCACTCACTGCTCCCCTACCTTGAAAACACCACTGATATATATCTATCAGATATATATATACATAGTAATATATAGTAATATATATATAGAGAGAGAGATATTCATTATATAAATAATTATATATATAAATGTATATATGTAAATATTTATATATATATCTATATATATATATATATATATATATATATATATATATATATATATATATATATATATATATATATATAGCCTATATATATATATAGCCTATATATATATATATATAGCATATATATATATATATAGCCTATATATATATATATAGCCTATATATATATAGCCTATATATATATATATATATATATATATATATATATATATATATATATATATATATATAGGCCCTATATGTTGGCATATAGACTATATAATATAGAGTTATGTTAGTCTATTAGTTAATATAATACATATTACATATTTTATAGGACATATTTCTAGGTCTAGTCTCTATCTAGATTCTTGTCTAGATTATGCCTCGATCAGTAGGCCTATAGTATAAGTATACTGAACAATTTAAGGGGTGTGGGGAAATTGCGAGACGCGAAAAGCGAAATGGCGAGGCGGGAAAACGCGAGAAGGGCGCGAAAACGGTCGGTCACGTGACTTTTTTGTCTCGCATTTTACCACAAGCCGATACTTACGCTGGGTAGTGTTGAAATGCGAAGATTTCTGCGAAAAATTTACCGCACCCGATATTCAGTGGTATTTGGTCCAGACTTCAAAGACTTCCGATTTTTCCGTCGCTAGACATACTGATGATTTGTCAACTCCCCCCCATCTTTTGTGTCGACTTAGAATTCCACCTTGTTCGAAACCGACGGAAATACCGCCGACGATAGATCAACTCCTGTCTTTTGTGTGGAACGCCGAGGCCGCCTGAATTACCGTCTTTGAAGATCGCCGTGCCGCCGCAAACATATTTTCTATTGTTGCATAGAAATTTTGTATTATAGCCGCCGCCTACGATTTTTTTCTAGCTTTTTTTTACCATATAAATCTAAGCACAAGGAAATGCCTACATCATTTGGATACAACTATTCTGGAAGTAAGAACTACTTACTGTGTGTTTTCTCTTCCAATGTTCCTTTACACTAATTTATATTAGATTTTATATCACGGTTGTGACTTTTCCGAATTTTCCCATAAATGTTATATTATTATTTATTAATTAATTGTAAATATATATAAAAATTTATTATTTATTATTTCCATAAATAAGTCAGAAAAATAACATCAAATTAAGTATGCGATTACTGCCCTATGTGAAGGTGAGGACTAGATTAACCCTCCATTATGTGTTGCTTATTCCTAAGCTTTTATGAACTCTCAATGCCCCCAGTTTTTTTTCTCTTACTTACTGTTTGGGGAAAAAATAAAGTGACGTCACCGATATTATCAGTTGCTCGTGCTATATCGTAAGCTATGGGCCTACTTCAAATATTTTTAAAACCAAGTTGAACTTATCTGAATTTTTTGGTTTTGGTGGTGGTGTTATTTTGGGGTCTTCCATAAATGACTTATTGCAAGTACAAAAATCCATAAATAGATGTTGCAAAATATCTCTCCTGCTGACAAGATTATACCAATTCACAATGACACAGCTCACGTTTGTATAAACATGAGCGGGCTAGATTTTTAAATTAATGCTGACTGAGACGGGATTTTCCTCTCGCTAACAAGAGCGGGCGATGACAGTAGCACAGCAACGATGTTAGGATTTTTAAATAGATAGATATAGATATAGATCTATCTATCTTCTTAGTATCTAGATAAAAAATAACAACATACAACACTCGTGTTAAAGGGTATGGCTAAATGCTTGTTTATTTTTAAACAAAAAAATAATTTAAATAAATAAAGATGGGAAAAAAAAGAAAAAAACTTTTTTCGCAAAAAGTGTCTCGCTATTTACCCTTAATTCCGCAGGTATGTCTCGCATTACCTTCTCGCATTTTCCCGCCTCGCCATTTCGCTTTTCGCGTCTCGCAATTTCCCCACACCCCAATTTAAGTGACTTGTACTCTCCTCTTCTAGATTCCTATATACTATATAAAATACAGATATATAGGACATTATAGAGCAAGAATAAGTCCTAGAATAGACTAAAGTCCATATCTGTGAAAGTTTTTAAGGGTAATCTATCGTTTTAGCGTAATCAATTCGGCTGCAATAGTAATGTGCGGGAGAGGTAGCTGATGAATATATTTGTTTAAATAAGTTTATTTAAGTCAAATTTTACAAAATATCACAGATAATTGATTTAAAATAACAAACAGTGACCAAAACAATTTAAATAACATGAAACTAACTTTAAACTAGGTGTTTGAGATAAATATTAGTAGAAAAAAAACAGCGGCCATCTTTCCAAATAAAATTTAGAGTAGTTTCCCTGGATAAAAATGTCTATTCGTATGTATATTGTGTTGACTTTTTTGTTTAATATACATACCTGTCTTGTTTAATATAAGTAATACAGAGGGCCGTCTTCTTATCTTTAATTTCATTTTCAAGTGAAATGAAGGCTATGTATGTATGTACATCCAAGATCTCAAAAAATTTTGGGAGGTCCAACATTTACTAAACCCTTTTGTACTGATTAGGGGTCGTCCATAAATGACGTCAGAATCGTAGGGGGGAGGGGGGTCGGTAATTTTGTGACGATGTGTGATGACGGGGAGGGGGGGGGGGTTCAGATGGTGCTACGTCACACTTTTGCTTTATAGATAAGAAATGTTAGAAAACGAATTTTAGACATTATTTAGCTTTTTAAAAAACAGTTTTAATAAATTATAATAGGAATTGATTAAAATACTATATTTTGACATATTTCAGACAAGATTTTGGAAAAATATCGATGTTTTAAAAAAAAATCAACTGCAATTTTGAGGGGGGTGGGGGGGTTGTAGGCTGATGTGTGACGTCATTTTAGGGGGGGGGGGTCTGACTTTTTGTGACGACGTGTGACGGAGGGGAGGGGGTGAGGTAAAAATCGTATTAAAAAAGCGTGACGTCATTTATGGATGACCCCTTAACTTGTCAATTATTAGGTCGTCCATATTCCTCATAAATGACGTTGGACTCAAAATATGGGACGGTGTAAAATATTTTTTTCAAAAATGATGAAGAATATATTCGTTTTCGTTAGAAATTGTGATTAAGGGTTCGGGTATAGTAGAACTGCGATATGATATTAAATCATCATTTTGCTTTTAGTAACTATTGGGTGAGAGGGAAATTGTCGGGAAAAGTATGACGTCATTTATGGGCGATCCATTTAATTAAGCCTAGTTGTTTATTTTGTCTGTAGACATTAGTCTTAGGCCTACACTTTTTCTGAATTAAGATTATTGTGTTTTTTAAAATAGGTTCAAATTTTAATTAGTTACATTTGAATACCACATGGTTTGTTGTTTTTTTTTCTTTGCCTTCTGCTGTCATCAGTTTTTGATTTCTTCAGTAGTCAATGTTTACCCCTCCCCACTATCCATTATTACCAAAAAAAAACACCCACTATATGTGTCATAGCGTAGATATATAGAATTAGACTAGACGAGTAGAGGTTACTAAGGACGGTACGAACTTGACGGTAGACGATTTGGTGCGAGAGTATTGTGCGCGTGTTCAATAAAATATGTGTGGCGTGAGTGTGACGTGAGCATGGTGCGACAATGTACCGATGACGTAAGACGCAGCAGTGAAGTTAGTTGGGGTTAGATATAGTAGAAGACGGATGTATTATTTGATATTGTGAAAATGATCTATAAGTGTGTGTTAATTAAGTTCATGTTATTTCATAAACTAAGATGTTGACATTGTTAATTAGTGTCTGCGGAACATAAGAGTGATTCCCGTCCTCCTCACGAGTATAATAGTTGCCGTATGAATAGTAGTAGATCAGAATATATTGAGATTATATATAAATCGCCCATCACAATATAGTGATATCCCACTCTAGAAAAAAAAACTAGATCAACGTATAGTTCGTAGGAAAATTAGAATCTATCACTTATTCGTCTGTTAAAAAAAAAAGAAATACGTCATTTTTCTCAACCACGCCGTTTCATCCCCCACTAAGCACAACGTCACAAAGTTCGCGGCGCGCGTGACGTCATTTGTCATTAGGCTAATGTTTAAGAAAGATACCGCGTAATTAAAAGAAAATCAAAACAGGCCCTAAATCACTATGGCGATGAGACTTTAACGACGTTTAGCCTGACGAATAGATCTAAATAACTTTAGTTCGGTGAATTATATTGGTGTTTAATTTATTACAGTGGCATGATGTTCTCCCTCTACTATACAAATTCACGTGCTTTTAATTTCTGCAACCTGCTGCCCTGAGACGTTCGGCTCTAAAATGCCCGTGACACAGCGGCTTCGGTAAATGCATTTAGGCTCCCGGTCCCACCTATAAACGTCTGTCCATTAAGCTCCACGCAAAACGTGTGATTAATATGTGGACATGCGCTAGTGGTGGTGTCAACAGGGGCCAAGCTCAGGTCTTAAAGGTGCTCCGCACTTCATAAAAGACAAAATTGATGTTCAGATATCGTCGGACTCTGGCGTTTTGCCGACGGCCGTACTCCTAATGCACAGTCTTAGAGGCTGTCCACTGCTAACACTATTTTATGTTAAATTCAAGCCTATACTGAGCTGTGGCTTTACATTAGCTCAGTGGCGTAGCGAGGTCGAGTGTCACCCGGTGCGGCACTTAATGGTGTCACCCCCCAGATGCGACAAACTTTCAATTTTCGATTTGTCCCATTTTACCTGCTAGTCAATAATTGTCGAATATTGTT